TTGTTAAATGAATAACTTTTCAGTTAAAAGGGTCACTTTTTGCATATAAAAGGGACTTTATGCTGTTAAAGGGTCACTTTATGCTGTTAAAAGGTCACTTTATACTGTTAAAAGGGTCACTTTGTGATGTTAAAAGGGTCACTTTGTGCTGTTAAAAGGGTTACTTTGTGCTGTTAAAAGGGTCACTTTATGCATTTAAAAGTGTCATTTGTGCACATTATTCTATATTTTTCCATGAGTAATTTTCTGAATTTGTATTTATATTACTTTAATAATTAAATACAGGTGGTTCAATAGGTGGTTATCGTTATAAAAAGCCTACAAAAGGAAAAGGAAAGCCTAAAGAGCCTGCTAAGCCTAAACCAGTACCAAAAAAGACCCAGATAGCTCCTGAGAAGAGCAAAGCAGTATCTAAAAAGGCTGGGAAAATTCCTGAGAGTGACAAACCAGAGTCTGAAAAGGCCAAAATAGTTCCTAAGAAGGCCAAAATTGTACCTAAGAAAGCTAATACAGTGGAAGATTCTGATTATGAAATGTTTTCTGAATCTGATTCTGAATCTGTTATGTAAGTATACATATTTTTTTATTACTTTTTTAATTATATTTTGTTTTTATTTTATATTGTTTTAGTTACATTTTCTTTCTTTTTTTTTTCTATTTAGGGAGCAAAAAGAAGAATCATTGCAAGATGTAGACCCTATTCATTGGAAATATTGCTGCAGAACTTTAGTCCTGAGCAAAAACAGGCTGTTGAAGAAATTGGTTTTGGAGGTTTATTACATCTTAAATTGAAAACTCTTAATCGTCAAATGCTACCTTGGCTTGTTGAAAACTTCAATGCTGGTAGCTGCATGTTTACCATCGTACTGGTAAAGAATTTGTTGTTACTAGAAATGATATATGCGATGTGTTTTGCTTGCCTTTGAGTGATATTTGTGTTCCTGAACTTAATAAAAATTCTGAAGATGAAAGTGTAGATAAACGTATCATTCAGGCATGGAGATCTGATTATGGTCTTTCTGGTAAGCAACCTCTTCATTTGTCAAAATTGGAGTCTAGGATGGTTGATTTGGTTGATGGAGGGGAAGAATTTAAGAGGTGTTTTGTTCTTCAAGCTATGTCTAGCTTTTTAGCTCCTACTACTAATAGGACTGTTTATTGAAGTTGCTGAAAGCCGTTGAAAAAGTTGATGAAATTAAAACTTTTGATTGGTGTTCATATGTTTTAAAAAAAGTTAAAGAAGGCTGTTCAGAAGTATAAGGATGATGAAAATGCTCAAAATGTTAGTGGTTGTTGCTGGCTTTGCAAATTATGTATTTTCATCGTCTAAATTTTCAAGGTGAAAAGGAAAGTAGTACTCTTCCTTTAATTCAACATTGGACGGATGTAAAGATTAAGAAGCGAATTAAGTTAGAGATCAAAGCTGGTGGTTATGGGCAGGGACCATTGGATATTACATATCCTGTGTCACAGCTTAATTTTAGGGGAACTGTTTTTAAGCCAGCTCCTACTTTGGGTTATGATAAGGGTCCTTCTACAAGTGGTACCACTGGTCGCATTGTTGCATTTGAGCTTCCAGAAGGTATTATGACCGATGAAGAAATTAAAAAAATTTCAACTGATGTAAGTGTTCTGTTTTCTTATATGTTTAGTTTAATGGAATTAGATTTCCTACTTATTTTATTATTTTTATTTGTAACATTTTTTTTTCATTGTTCATATGTTTGTAGGTTGTTCATGAAACGTTTCTTTTGTTTAAAAGAAATATGGATGTTTTATTATTTGTTCAGTCAACTGGTTTTCAAACCTTGAATGATCTGATTACTTCTCGCAGAAGTGTTTCATTATCTTCTGATGATTTTGTTTCAGTTTCTCAAACTGAACTGCTACTCTCTGATCCTCATTATTTGAAGATTTTAGATGGTTTAATTGATGAGTGTAATAAAATGAAGTCTGTACATGATATGTTTCGCGGTTTTTATGAAACCTACATAAGGTAACAAAGATTTTGTTCCTGAAAAAGAACCTGCACAAGATTTCAATGAAAATATTCCTAAGGATGATGACAATGGTCATGGAAAAATAGTTAATGAAGGCCTTAATGGTTCTGGACCTTCTGCTATCAATTCCTGGTCCTACTCAAAATATTCCTGTCGGGCAATATTGATCAAAAATGAACCTCCTCGACTCAGAGCAAATAAATCTCTATGCTCTCTGGACTGTGGACATGTAGGTGTGCAGGTGCCTTTTGTAACTCTTTTTGTAAAGAGCAATGCTCGGATTTTCAAGAATTTGCCTCAGTTACATTTGGAAATTCTTGATTATTGTTTGCTGAAGGATGTTTCAATGGATAAGAAGTTAAGTGTCCTTTTTTATTATAATTATTTTTTTATCTGTTTTTTTCTTATATTTTTTTTTAATGTTGATCTTATTTTTTATTGTTTCAGTGAGAGCCTTGTTACTTTTGGAATGAACTTTTTAATTCCAAGAGAAGACATGGTGTCCCTTGTTGCTCCACTCAGGATTCAATGGTGCGTTATTGATTGCTTCTGTCTGTATTTGAATGAGAAAGCATGTTTTCAGGCTACTGGTCCTCGGAAATTCTTCTTCGGTGTTAGGCAGAGTGTAAGTTATTTCATTCCTTTTTTTATATCTTAACACATTTACTTTATATATATATTATTGAGATCTTATACTTTAATAGTTTTCATTCTTGCATGTTTGTGACAATATTGGCAAAGGTAACATATCTAGTGCTGTTAAGGATTTGCACGACATATGGGAAGGTTGGGTTAGCTATGAGAATCCAGAATGTAATATAATGGATGCTGATCTGGTATTTTTATTCTAAACTTAATGTAATAAATTTAAAAGAGTTCTCTTTATGATATGCTCTGTTTAAATCTCTTTAATTTTGTTGTTTCAGATCTATTTTCCTGTTCTTATTGAGAATCACTACATTTTGTATGTTATTGATCATACAAAAGAGTTGGTATATTATCTTGACAACATTATCTGGACTGATTCTGCTCTTGTTTATACAAAAGAATTGTGTTCAAAGATGGTATGTTTATGTTTGTTTTTTTTGTTATGTTACTGTTGATTCATTGTTTCCATTTTAACTTTTTTGATTTTAATGTATTCTAAACTTTTATATTTTATGTCAGTGTGTTCAAATGGGTGCTTTTCTTGGCAAAAGAAATCATCCAAAGAGTTCTCAGCTACCTTCTTATGGTTTTGAAGTTGTTGAGTTGGAATGGAGAAAAGAAAAAGTTGACAATTTGGACTGTGGGGTCTTTGTCATGTATCACATGCTCCATTTTGTTGGTGAATCGTTCAAATTCAATGATCTCAAAACAGTAATTATCTATATAGTTTCTGTAGTTTTTTCCTTTCTATTGCTTTTATTAATTACATATTGATAATTTTTATTTTTTTTGCTGATTTGAGATTAATGGAAGGAAATTTTTACGAGGAGAGATCTGTACCACACTGGTACTGTGTGATTTGAATGAATCTAGGAACGATGTGTTGTTAGAATTACACAAGTTCAATGAGAAGAAGAAAGATCCTGCTTATGTCAATGGAATTGAAGAAAGATTAAAGGCTGCAATTGCTGCAAAGAAGAAAAGAGAAACAGAAGAAAGAAAAATGGCAGCAGAAGCAAAGGCAGAGGGAGAAGAGGAAAAGAACAAAGGAAAAAGGGCAAAAAAGCAGGCAAAAAAGTTTACTCCTTCTAAATAGTGAAATAATTGATAGTTGTTAGCTGATTAGTTCAGGGGGTTTTTTTTAACAATGAAAAAACTTAATGTATGTGCATACATTAAGTTTAATGATGTAATTAAACTTAGTTTAAAGTCTTTAGTTGTTTTTGGAATACTGATGTATGTGAATACATAAAGTAATTAAAAGGTTTATTTTTATGTTTTTTATGGGGTAACTTTTATGCAGAAAAGGGTAACTTTTATTTATAGAAAGGGTAACTTTTAAGCAAGAAAAAGGTAGATTTTATTGTTAGAAATGGTAATTTTAGCAATGAAAAGGGTCACTTTTATGTAGAAAAAGGGTCACTTCTATTCATGAAAAGGGACACTTTTTTCTGTAAAATAAAAGGGTCAGGGGTTTTATGCATGAAAAGGATAACTTTTAGTGATAAAAAGGGTAACTTTTATTAACAGAAAGGGTAACTATTAGAAAAGAAAAGGTTGATTTAGTGGATAGAAAGGATAAAAAGGGTTACTTTTGTGGGTAGAAATAATAAGTTTATACATGATAAGGTATACTTTTGTGGGTAGATAGTGTAACTTTTATGCATGGAAAGGGTAACTTTTATTGATAAAAGGGTTAACTTTTATTAACAGAAAGGGTAACTATTGCCAAAGAAAAGGTTGATTTAGTGGATAGAAAGGATAACTTTTATGCATGAAAAGGGTCACTTTTATGCATGAAAAGGGTTACTTTTATGCATGATAAGGGTTACTTTTATACGTTAAAAGGGTAACATAAGTTGATGTGTTCCAATAATTAAACATGTGCTAATAAAAGTGTCAATCACATTTTCATTAAACTAGTCATAGAGTAAAAAAACAAAAGAAAAATAGTTTAACAATACAGGGTATATTAATTTCGAAAAAAAAAATGCTCTAAAAAAGATCTTAAAAGAGTCGTAAGTTAGGTGTCTTTGATCCAAATTCTGAATTTGGAGGTGGCAGTGCTGGTTTTCTTTTTCTCTTGCTTTTTTCAAGTCCTCCTTTTGCTCTCTTGCTTCTTCCTTTTGTTACAGCCCTTTTAGGATCAAGAATTATTGGTACACATGTGCTTGTACTCGATGCTGAAGAAGCGTCAGTATTGCTTTGAGTGTTGTCTGCCACATCAGGAATGTTAGAAGCAGCTTCTGCACTTTCTTTCTGAGCAGCACTAGCAAGTAAGTCTTCCACCATTTTAAGACTGTTTCTGAAGCTTTCTTCCATAAATGCTCTTGTCTCTTCATTTTCTTGACTTTATAAGATTAGATTGTAGTATTTCCTCATCATTGTTTGCCTCCATGGAATATATTGCTGTTTAGGATCCTGATTCTTCAACCTATCCCATGCCTCTGTTTTTGCAAACTTAGTCCATCTTTTTGAAACATACTTGTCTGGTATTCTTGTTACTGAATGCAAATGTAGAATTCTGATGCAATGATAACATAACCATCCAGATGCTTCAAAGTTTTTGCAAGTACACCATACAGTTTGGCTCTCTTGTATATAGTTTACTTGATGTGCAGACCATGGCTTGTCTTCTAGTGTTACTTGATAAAGTAGGCATTCTTCATTACTGCCTAACATCTGAACAGTTGTTGCCATAGAGTATCCAAACTCCTCTTCAAAATTTCTAAAGAGTGATAAAGTGAAAACCTGTACATCAAAATCATGTAGCTTCATTTAAATTGCCATATATTAGGTGTAATTTATGTACTTGTCAGTTAACTTTTTACCTGTGCAGCATGCTTTAGCATTCCAGATAGAGGCAATGAAGTGAATGCTATTGACTTGCTATAGGTAAACTCATCATATTTCTCTGTGCTTCTCCAACGATTAGTTGTCTTCTTAAATATGGTATAAAATTCTGTCAAAGTAGTTGCTTTACTTGCTCTGAATCCTATGGCATGATTAGTGCTTTCACTCCTTTGTGACGATAAGATCCCTGCTGAAAAGAAATCTCTACAAACGGCAGGACACCATTTGTCTTTCAACTCATACACTCTTTTGTACCAAGAGTGTTCTGTCAACTCATATTTTTGCAACATTGCTTGCCACTTTGCTTCGAATTCTTGTTCTGTCACACACATCTTTAAGCACTAGTTGAATGCAAATTTGAATTCTTTGTCTTTTTTAAGAGCTCCAAATCTGGTTATGGCATTTTGCTCCAAATGCCATATACAAAGTCTATGTCTTGTATTAGGAATCACCTGCATTGAAAATAAAGGGGTCACTTTATGCTGTTAAAAGGGTTACTTTATGCACTAAAAAGGGTAACTTTATGCAGCTAAAAGGGTAACTTTATGTGAAAAAGGAAAACTTTATTGTCATAGCTCAAATCTGTAAGATGTCAATATAAATCTTTTACCTCCAGTATAGCATTTGCCATTGCTTGGTCCTGGTCAGTGAATATTGAAGTTGGTTTTCTATCCTCCATAGCTTCGAAGAAGGTTTGTAGTAACCACACAAATGAATCTGTCGTTTCATCCCCAATAAAAGCACAAGCAAACATACAATTATGCCAGTGGTTATTTATGCCAACAAATGGAGCACATATAAGATTATATCTGTTGGTTCTGTATGTTGTATCAAAGACAAGAACATCTCCATATATCCTATAGTCTTCTAGCATCATTGAATCTCTCCAAAAGATATTGCAAATTCTTCCTTCTTTGTCAAACTTCACTCTAAAAAAAGAAGTTTGGATCCTCTGATTGTTCCTGACTTAAAATGTTCACTAAAGTTTGAGCATCTCCAGCCTCAATTTGTTCCATTCGTAACCTTGAGCAGAAATTCAGGTGATCTACAACACTATGGCCTATATTCTGTTCTCCTCCAGCCTCTGTAGCCATGTAATTGTAAGTGTCCATTGTAGTTAGACCTGAAGATTTCATTGTTTTGATTGTTACAACTTTTTCCTCTGTCATTTTTCTTTCAGAACGATGCAAATAATGCCACTGTGGCTTTGTTAGCTCGTGGTTATGCTGAATAACATGAGCCACCACCTCAAACTGTCCTTCTTTATTCACTTTTGCTCTTATGCATGCCTTGCAATTTGATCTTGTAATGGATACTTGTCTTGGCTTTCTTGTTTTTACATTTACATCCTCTTCATCAACCATTTCAACTAACTTTGTTTTCTTCTGACCTGAATGTCTCTTTCCCTCAGCAGAACACACATAGTTTTTCTCAGTTACTATTTTTGTGTGTTGTTTGAATCTAGTTGTATGTTTTCTTATTGAAAACCCCAGTATAGCAGCATGTTTTTCATACAATTCCAAAATTTCTTCAAAAGTTTCTCTTACCACACCAACAAATGATCCTCTAAGATCTAAACCATAAGCATCAATTGGATTTGTATATGTTATTTAATACAAACAAATCAGATAATAACCACAGACAGCATAAAAAAAAGGGTAACATTCGTTTGAAAATAGGGTAACTTTTATGCATGAAAAAGGTAACATTTAGGCATTGAAAGGGTTACTTTTTGCATACAATCTGAGTGTAACATTTGAGCATAAATAGGGTAACTTTTATGCATGAAAAAGGTAACATTTAGGCATTCAAAGGGTTACTTTTTGCATACAATCTGAATTTTCAGCATACAATCTGAGTGTAACATTTGAGCATAAATAGGGTCACTTTTAAGCATGAAAAGGGTAACATTTAGGCATTCAAAGGGTTACTTTTTGCATGCAATCTAAAAAGTTCTGCATTCAATCTGAGGGTAACATTTAGGCATAAGTATGGTCACGTTTATGCATGAAAAGGGTAACAATTATGTATTCAAAGGGTTACTTTTTGCATACAATCTCAAAAATTCGTAGAAATTACCTTCAGTTGCATCTGATTTGGTTGTTTGTTCTGAATTTGAATCAATTGATTTATCAGGAACCACTTGATTTTCTGCATTATGAATTGCGTCTTCTGCATTCTCAATTGCTTCATCTGCATTATCGATTGCTTCATCTGCATTGTCTGGATTGTTGAATATTGGTACGAATTCATCTCCAAAACAATTAGTTTCTTCTTCTTCTATAATCGATCGATTTAAATCGATTTCAAATTCAGTCTCAATTTGCCTCTGTTTTTGTAGCAATTCGTGAATGAGATTGCTGCAATTTGTTGTATCGAAAGTCGAATTCTCCATTGATGATCGAATTCTGTAATTTGTAAGTTTTCTCACTTTCTTTGTCCTTAATTGATGATCGAATTCTTCTATTTGTGCGTTTTCTCACCTTTTTTCTCCTCGATTGATGATCGATTTCTGCAATTTTTGCGTTTTCTAACCTTTTTTCTCCTCGATTGATGTTCGTTTTCTGCAATTTTTGCGATTTATCACTTTCTCTCTCCTCAATGGATGATTGATAGCTGCGTTTTCTCACTCTCTCTCTCCTCCATGTTGTTCTGCGTTTTTTTTATTTTTAGGTATTTGAAATTCTGCGATTTTTTTTTTTAAAAAAAAGCACGTGCGAAAACCTGATGTACAGTAAAAATACTGTACACCGGGTACATGCAAATGGGTTTGTTAAACAAAAAGCAAATATTCGAATCAGCAATTAAATCCCTCCTCCTACATTCCTACTCCACTTGTTCTTCACTAACCCAGAAACTCTTCTACGACGTCGTCAGCCGCGTTGCCACCATAACCGCACTCGAAATTCCAACCCAGATTTCGTTCAAACCCAATTTTCGACCAAATTGACCAGTATCATGAAGAAACTGCATCGCTCTAATAGATGATAGTATAGACGTACGATTTGGTGATCAATTTATAAACGAATTTCAAATTTTCGGCAATTTATCATGTTTCATGGATGAACAAGTTGAGCAACCTTTTTAATTTTAATTTTAATTTTCTGATTTTAGTTTTTATTTCAATAATAATTAAATTAATGAATTAGTAAAATAAAAAATAATTTTTAAAAAATGATTTTTAATTAATTTAGGCATTTAAAAATAATTTTAAAATTAGCCAATAAGAATGTGCTACATGTCAAAGTTATGGTTGTCATTTTTCAAATGACTACCATAAAATCATCCAGTTTTGATAGATGCGGATGTGTTTTTATCAAGTATTAATCGTATTTTGGACTTCAAATGCAAAAGCAAGACCAAAAAACACAAAAAATTAATATAGTTCATTGACAATGTTTTCGTTAGGTCCATCATGCAAAAGAAATGAGTATTATAAATTGATCTTGTGGAAACTCATTAAGGAATTTGGATAGATTAAGGAATGAAGAGTCTATATGCTACGCTCCAAAACAAAAATGAGATAGACTCGTAAAATATACTTGAATACAACTTGTAGCTCAGTATAACATGTACCACAGATTTCAATTTTCACCCTAACTCACCAACTCGTGCTACATTACTTGAAACAAAAGTCTAATCCACATGTTTATCATTGTTATTTAACTGCAAATTCAATGTACATTGTTTTCCACAAAGTTTTATATATTAGTATATAGGAATTTTACAATGGGATATGTTAATAGTAATTGAATAAAGGATTTTTAGGAAATTTTGCAAAATAACACCACAAAATAGTCAAAAAATGGATTATAATATCACACAATTTTAAACTTTAATAATAACACCACAAAAAAAATCCAGAAATTGGATTTCACCACCACTTAACCGGATTTTTTTGATGGAATCCATTAGTGAGACCTACTATATATATGGACACGTGTCAACAAGGCATTGGATTAAAATTAAGATAAATAAAAATGAAAAAAGAAAAAACCCTAAACCCTAACCCAACCACTAGCCCACCAATGGCCACCCTAACCCCCACTGTCAGCACACCCCACTGCCGCCAAAGCCACCACCAGCCCTCACTCGGTCACCCCACCCTCCTCAACCAGCCCCGACAAACCCCATCGACCACCAGCTTCCTCGAAACCCCCACCCCATCCTTCCCCCACCCGTGCCGTTCGACCCCCAGCCGCAACTCCCTAAACCCTAACCACCACCAAAAACGGCCACTAACGATTGAGAACGGGCGATTTAGGGCCTGAGTGGTCAAATTCAACCCTAATTCGGTCGATTTCGACCGCTAGTTGCTAATTTTGTTTTGGGGAGTAAGAAAAACGGTGATAGGCTAGTGGCTATCGGTTTTGAGTGGGAAAGGGAGGAGGGTTCCAGTGGCTATCGATTTTGAGTAGGGGAAAGGGAGGAGGGTTTCGGTGGCCGTTGGTGTGTCCGACGTGGTGCAGGTTCCGATGGCTGTGGGTGTGTCGGAAATAGGGGAGTTCCGACAGGGAAAAGGGTGACAGGTGGTGGGGACGGGTGGTTGAGGTTAATTTTGGGGTTTTTTTTCTTTTTTAAATTTTTCTTTTTTTAATCAATAATATAGTGACACGTGGCAGCGTGGACCCCACTTAACGGATTCCATCCAAAAATCCGTTAAGTGGCGGTGAAATTCAATTTTTGGGTTTTTTTTTGTGGTGTTATAATAAAAGTTTTAGATTTTGTGGTGTTATAATCAATTTTTTGACAATTTTGTGGTGTTATAAGTCAAAAACTCCTAAATTTTAATGATATCTTGAATAATTTAAATTCAAATGTTGGAAGAATGACCATCAAATTAAACTTCAACTATGTCTAAACAAACACTTATTAGACTATAGCCTTGTTTTATTTGGACTTACTTTAAGTTTAGTTCAGTTTAATTTAGCTTAGCTTAATTAATTATTCTACTTCACACGAGTATAGCTCAAATTTAGTTTAAAAGAACGTGGCCTATATCTCACTTACACATGCTAGTTTGTGCAGACTTTCATTGACACATCTACTTTGACATAACTTTCATTGGACATTTACTTTGGCATCAATTCTCTCATATAGAATAAAGTCAGTAAACAATTATAAACTTGTAACAACAAAATCATTAAAACAATTTAATAAGGGACCCATACCTGCGGGTATATGGAGTATTCGTTTTTGTGAATTGAAAGTAGAGACATGAAGAGTACAAAAACTAAGAATATCGGGATGAAAGGGAAAAGCGAGTAGAGTATAGAAAAACAAATTTTCAATAACAAGGATTACGAATCATATCAGTCAGCTTAAAAATGAT